AAAACAGAGATTTTAGGGGTACAGTGGAGAAAATGCTGAAAAAGTAGTTGGGTTGTCCATGGGAGGCAAATGAGAAGAACCGGTTAAACTCTGTTAGGCTGCAGTGGCAGGAGGATGGGGTGGTTGGAGTGAAAATACATGTGCGGGGTTTCTGTTTGTTTTCAGGTTTCCCACTCCAAGGAGAGTGATGTGGAGGTATTGGAGGCACTGGAGGGTTGAAGAGGATGCAGGGAGGAACAAGAACAAATCGAGGATGCCTTGCTGTGCCTAAGCTCTAGACCTGCATGAGTGCATATGTGTGACCCTCCGTGGTCTTCCTGGCATCTTCCAGGAGAGATCCCAGGTCCATTCCTCAGTCCTGATTTTGTGGGATCACCTGCAGCACTCAGGAAGTTGAGGTGGGGATTTGGGTATGAGAGTTGCAACCCTAATGCCAGCTAATTTTACAGTGGGCGTCAATATTGTCCTTCACATTTACAGCGGGCGGGAAATAAAGGCACTGACAGATTAAGTCTAGTCCAAGATGAAACAGAAAAGCAGTGGAAGGTCATGAGTCCAGTGCACTGTCTGGGTCTGAGTCACTGCCCTGTGAATAAGGCTGTAATGCTGAAAACATGACATTTTGAGGATGATTATTTTGGCTATTAGAAAAGTATTCCTACTTTCCCACAAAATGCCTCCATCATAACCTCACTTGAACATAAATACATGGTGTGAGCTGTGTCGTGTTTGTCCTTAGGAGGAAAAAAAACAAAAACTGGGAAGGAGCCAAGGCAGTATGTCACTGTATGTTCCTGTTTATTCCACTTTTTATTTTTCACATGTTTTATAAAATGTGTATCTGCAGTGACTAATACTTTCAAGTAACCAATTGGTGCCAGTAAATGGAAGCACCATCTGCAAGGAACTGATTTGCAGGAGCCAAGTTCTCAAACATCTGAGGAGGAGGAGGTGTTATAACTTAGTGAGAGACGACCAAAGCGTAGACTTGGGCTCGGTAGTCAGGATGATTTTAGATGTATTATGTAAGCAGGATGTGAGAGGAAAGGGGAAATGGAGACCAAACGATGGAGCTCTTGTTCAGTAGGAACAAAGATGAAGCAACCCGTGGTGAGAGAAAGGGTAAGAAAAACACAACATTTGGGAGAAAAGACATTTAATTGAGTTTGAAATGTGGAGGATGCCGAGTGCTGACACAGTGAGGAGCACAGACCAGCGTGCTTACTCAGTGACATTCAGTGACTGCAATAAAGTGAAGGTTAATTAAAGAAAAGTAGCTGAGATCACTGCTCTCATTTGTTCACTGTTTCACAGAGGAAAATGGAAGACCTTTGGGCCAAGTTCCTGCCTTGCTGGTGCTGTCAAGTAGCTACTTATGTATTTCTAACATCCTACTCAGAACAGTTTTAACCTTCTCAGCTTCCCCCTTCCTTCCTCTTTTGGAGAGCAAGTTCCTGGGATTGCAAAATGGAGCCGCTGAAGCCAAAGAGAACTCTTGGTACTTTTATGTAACAACTGAGTTTGCCCCTGTGAGATCCGAGATGAACTTTGGTGCTCATCTGGTGACTTGTCTTTATACAGGGCAAGAGGTTTGTGCAGGAGCAGCCCAAACTAAAGGGCTAACAAGGGCATTTTCAGGAGTTTTGAAAGAAAAGCTTCAGAAATGTCTGAGCATCAGCATTAGAAGACCTTCTCAAATGTTGAAGGAGGAAGGTGCAGCGAGGTGTGGCTGCAGGTCGATGGGACATACATTTCTTTGTGCAGTTTTACTTCACAAAGTGCTTTGTAAAGAAAAAAAATCGTGGTACAATAGCAAGAAATTGGTACAAATATTATTTTTATACAGTATTCCTCACTTCAAACAGTGCTCCTTGGATAACACCAGAGAGTGCTAGAGAAGCTTTTATTTCAAATGAGCAAGGGAAGCCTTTAAAATTCAGTTGTGTGTTTGTGCTTCCTAGAATGGGAAGTTTGAGCCTCTCAGGAGCAATCCCTGCTTGGAAAAGCATGTGAGGAGGTGCAGCTCAGAATTTCAGTGGGTTACCTTTGGATAGAAGTTGCTCAATATTTTGATAAAGAACCCTGAGGTCACTGGAGAATACCAGAGTTCGGCTCGTGTTTGCCAAGCCTGAAGCCCAACTTACCTGGCAAATACCCCAACCAAGAGACAGAGTGTTAGTGTGGGATCAACACAGCCATGGAGTCAACACAAATCATATCTTTTTATGTGAAAAGGGCCTTTTTATTTTTTTTCCCTTCCAAGTGTTCCGTCACTGAGGGAGAGGATGCGAGATTTGATTATCTTACAGCACGTTTTTGAAGTGGGTTCTTCCATTCTTAAAGCAATGGTGGAGCAATTGGCAATTCAGCATCTCCTCCTATCTCACACTAAACTGGATAAATGCTGTCTTTCCTCTTGGAGATTCCTTCTCCTGCATTGCTGGCTCTGTAGAAAGTGTTGTAAAAACAGTACCCACATCTAGATTGGTCTCAGGATTAACGTGTCACTCCTTGCACTCATAAAAAAGAAAGATATCAAGTTATTTTAGCAATGTCTGTTTTCTGGAGTCCCGTGTTCACTGACAGTAATTATGTCACCCCCCCTTCAATTATTTTTGTCAGCACCCATATTAATTAGACTCCCTGTTATATTGCACTTTGATGATTATCCCATTTAATCATTTGAAATTATTTATATAGCCTTACAAAGTACACGCGGATGTTCTTTTTTATTTTAGCCACAAGAAAAGGATTTTTGCTGGGCTTGGGAATGTTCTCCCTGGATTTCAGGTTCGCAATACCAGGCAGCACCACTGGGAGACGCTATTTAATCGAGTTTGGGTTGGAATGGCACCTTCTGCCCCCCTGCCCGTGTCTGATGGGCTCAAATTCCTCCTTTCAGCTTCCCCGAACAAACTGCTCGGAGTTGCTTATAACGCAACTCGACAATTCTCTCCACAAAATAAACTAGAAACTGATGCTGCTCTACAACAACAATAAAAACAAGGCTCGCAGAGCTCTTCGAGCATGGCAGGAATATGAAACTCCTCCGTGTTTACAATTATTGGAAGCATAAAAGCAATTTATCACAATTCCTGGTATTTACTGTGCTGTGCATTGGATTTTTCTCCCCACCACCCTTTTCCTCGGTGGATGCAGCTCAAAAGTTTACAGCACTGAAATCAAAGTTATGTACTGTTGGGCTTCACCTAATTTTCTGTAACTTTACTAAGTTTATGCCAGGATTTTCACTATATTTAGTGATGAGAGATCTCAAATATTATTTCAAGGGGGAAAAAAGCCTTGCTAGTGCCATCATTAGAATGTTAAACCTTATCTGCTTGAGGAGGTTTACGTTATTTACAGCTGATGGATTCCAGAATTCCTGCTTTCACAAAATGTGTTTGTATGCTGGAAGTCATGCTGGAAGTTAGGAAAACAATTTGAATCAAAGGACAAGGCCACCACATCAATCTTTCTGTCATCAAAATGCCTTTGATTTGGTCAGAGCCTTTCCCCTGATGCTCAGAGGTGCCTCGGCCTCCAGGTTCAAAGGACAGTGGTGGTTAGAGGTGGAAAGACCTCACAGGTCACCTTTTCCAGCCACATCCAAATTGGGATTGCTCCCTATAGTACCTCCAGCTCAGCTTTGGGGTCAGTGCTGCACAACATCACTCTCTGAGCTTTGCTTATTTATAAACCTCGGGAAACAGAAACCAGAATTGCCAGGGGGACTTTTTTTAGTCCCAGTTTCTGTGGAGGAGTTTGTGGGTGAAGCTGATGAATTCCCTCTTAGGCTTCCATCATAAAAAACCAGCTGGGGTTGACTTGTGGGGAATCTGCTCTACAAATGGGATATAAAAGGTTTCTCCTTGAGGGCTCAGTGATGTACACTGGAACCAAAGCAAAATATATCTCACTGCTTTTCTGGGCTGCACCTGTGCTTTAAATTTTACTCACTAAAAGCCCTTTGAGTAAAGATTTTATACCTATAACTGCTCCATCCTCTGGCAAATCATGTCACCTGGCAGGGGCTGAATAAATAACAGGTTACTCTTTTTCTAAAAAAAAAAAAAAAAATTACAAGGGAAAAAAGTGCAAGATTTCAAGATTTTTTCTTTTGTCATAATTATTGTCAAGAACTAAGTCTCAGGCAGCAAATAATTCAGGAATGTCTAACTGTATATAATAATATTTTAACCTCTGATACCCAGTTCTGCTTGTAATGATATTATTTAGGTTTCATTGCTGTGGATGTGAAAACTGACCAGCAGTGAATATTTTTAATTTAGTGGAAAAGTCATAAAATGACACATGCACTGCAAACCACTGTGCAATTGGAGGGTTTCATTTGGCAAACGTTCAAGCTTAAAATGTGTTTTTCATGATTATCCCCCTTATTAAAGCTCATTTGCTATTCATGGAAAGTGAGCACAAAAGGGATGTGAAGAGTCAAAGAAACCCATTTTAAAAATTCCAATGAATATCCAAGGGAAATGGGTTTCAGTGTCTGCCCAGCTCTGCTGGGACACTCTGCTGCTCAACCTCTTCTCACTGGGTGCCTTTGCCATCGTCCTTAAGGCTTCCATGCCAAATCCTGGGTAGTTTCATTTACAGCTGCACGTTGCAGTCATTCTGCAAAATCAGTTCTTGATGTGGCTCAAGAGCTTTGTTGGAGTGGGGAAGGTGAGAGGGTGTTCAGTTAAAAACTGATTGGTTGTGAGACTGAGCTTGAACGGGGTGGTGGGGTCAAAGCAACTCAGGTGTTTGGCCCTTGCAGAGGGAGACATTTACTCCCAACACTATTCCCAACAGCCTCGGGACTCCAGTTATCCCTCTGTATGTAGGAAAAATACCTGGGGAAGGGAAGAGTCCGGATCATCAGCTGTGTTTATTTTCCACACAGGCTGAGCTCCTGCAAGCTGAGCTCCACCTCCATTCTTCACTTGCTTTCATGGGAGCAGGATGTGGACTGAAGGCTCTTCTCCCTCCACTCCACTCTCATCCACAAGGTCTCACTGAAGGAAGAGTCAGGTGCCAACAACTGTCCTGTGAGTACCAAGCCACTGATCCAACTGCCAAAGTGCACTTTATGGCAGATTTCTGTGCCATAATCCCCTACTGGGCTGAAGAGTTCAAGTTCTGTGAGCAACCACATAGTTTCTGGGGGTAGATAACTGAAAAATTGTTGCATCACTCAGCCTGAGGTTCTGGAGGTGCATTTCCTCACACAAGCTGAGGTCAAAGGCTGGTGCTTTTCAGAAAGGTCTTGCTTCTCAGCCAAATTTATCACTTCTGCAATTAAAGAAGATCAAATTATTGGCCTGGGGTCACATGGCAACTGAGTGGCTCAGCCAGGACTTGAGCCAAAGATCCATTCCCTTGGTTCATCACCCTTGACTGTCAGTAGTAGATTTAATTCTGGTTTATGAAGATATTAGGAAGGGTTTATATGTTTTATAAGTTTCTGAAAAGAGACTGAGCAGCCATTTTAATGAGGAAATAGTCTAATGGGCTAATGAAACTTCAGAAAAAACAAGATGCAAAAAAAACACTGTCAGAGGAAGAAATGAAACCTTGGGCCAGCAGTTTGGGCTGCACAATCAGGCAGCCTGTCACCTCTGGCTGTCCCCACCACCTCCAGAGGGAAAATCCACCCTGGATTGAGAGGTTGGCTTTGCAGGGCACAGGGAAGAAAGTGAATGCTGGGCGTGGCCCAAAGATGCCTAAGGCATTATAACTATGGATCAGGGATAAGAGCATTCCAACACTTCCTGGGGAGACAACTCTTGTGTTTAGTTCTAGAGATGAAGCTCCTTCCCGTGGGACTTTCTGGGGACAGGAAGGACATGAGAACGCCAGTCAACCCCCAGAATGCTCATTCCATCTAGTGAGATTGCTGCCTGATTTTCTGTATTGATGTTATTTTAGATGTTCTCCCACTCCTTCTCCAGTCCCAACTGCACATTCCAGTGTGCAGGTGTGGAGGGAGGGCAGAGCCCCAGGGTGAGCAGGGGCTGGATGAGCCGGTGCAGCTGCACTGGGTGCCAAGTGAAGGCCAAAGAGCAGCCCCAGTTCTGTGGCAGAACAGTTCTGCATTCGCAGTCAGGTGCCAGGAAAACTCTCACAGACACAGCTCAGACCTTTAGAAGCAGAGGAAAAGCTGGAGAGACAGCCCCTGATTATTTCAATCTAATATTTTGGCTTAAAATTGAGTTCAGCACGTTATTTTCCAGCTTATCTCACCTCCTTTTTTCTTTTTTTTCCCCTCCTAGTTTGTCCCATCCTTTCAGTTTCATTTTTGGAATTTAATATCTCCCGCTGATGATTTCTCTTCCTTATCTTCCCTTGATCCATTTCTGCTTCTCTTTCAGATTCTGTCCCCTTGAGTCTCCAACTAATGTCTCCCCATATGTCAGATTAAAAGAAAAAAGAATTTACAAGATGCTGGGCTATGAAAGGAAGTAGGGAATGTTTATGTGGTTGCAGCAGACTGACCATTAAAGTGACTTTATTTCTACATCATTTCATATGCTGGGCTTGGCAGTTTCATTTCCAAAACTATTTATACTCACAAAAGTCCATAACAGCATTTCCATTATTTCCTTATATGATTTCTTTTTTTTTGCCTATATTTTATCAAGTTATCTTCTTCTATTCAGGCCTGATTTCAGACAATAGGAATACAAAGTGGAAAAATCCTTTCTAAAAGAGACTGTGGCTTTTTTTTTTTATCTATTAAAGCATCTTCCTGTGTCCCAACACATTTTAATCTCAGTTTTCTTTTCAGCTTCTCCTGTTGATTTGATCCAATGGACTGACATGCAGGGGAGACTCAGATGAAAGTTGCACCCGAGGAGTGTTTGTGCTCATGGCTGAGGAGCCTTCCTAAAGCTGCCTTCCTCACTATCCACCAAAATCCTCCCGCTGTTCCAGGCACTAATTCCAGAGGGTGGAATCCATGCTTTCACATGGCAAAGGCCAGCTGTAACTGTTGCCTCCCACTGAAAACACAGAGGGAGTAAAAACCATCACCAGTGGATGCCACAACAGGTAGGATGGATAAAAATGATCAATTTTATTTTCTTGCTTTTCTAAATATAATGTGGTCCAAGCCTTTATATAGATGATGTTCCATTTTTGCTTCCTTGCAAGGAAAACAAACCAACCAAGCCACAATTTGAAGTTTTGAAAAGGAAACCACAACCAGCATTAAATATTCTCGAAGAGCATGTATTACATTCTGTACATTTATTTTGCATTTAATTCTGGCACAGTTTGCATAAAGAGGTTGTGGACTACCATTCACTGACACATTTGTAAGAACAAGTGAAATGAGCAGGTTAGGAGGTGTCAGGAATAAAATCAGCGATTCCCAAGCTTTTCTGTCTGGGAAAGCATTGTCAGCCCTCAGGATTTGTGCCACCCGCCCCCCTCAGTGCCAGTGGCTGTTGCAAACATCCTAAAGACAAGGCCAGGGGACAAAAGAGGCCTCTTTTGAAAGAGCTGGGTGAAGATGGGTGCTCTCCCTAACCCCAGTGGCAGTGTCACCTCCTGCAGATGTGCTCAAATCAAACTCATCCACGCTCAGCTCGGGTCCCTCCCTGCCCTGGCAGGGCAGGAGGAGGGGAGGGGAACCGCTGCTCTTGGTGTGGCATGAAAAGTCACCAGGAGCAGGTGGATTTGACAGCCACAGTTATGTGCTTTAGAGCTGGTGCCGATTGTAAGTGCAAGGTGGAATGGATTGCAGGAGAGACGAGGAGCTCCCTGAACTGATTTAAGATGAGGGAAGGTGCTGTAAAAAGGACACGTGCAAGGCCCAGGGGAGTCAGAGCAAGGAATCTTGTTAATGTTTATGGGCTTTTGATCAAGTCCTTAAGACAGACTCGAGATTTAAGATGTTCTACCTTTGAAACAAAGGTTCTGGTGCAATCACACAATTTCTATTGTCCTCCTTTAAATTGGTGTGTGTTGCTCATCACACTGATCAGAACATGCTTTATATCACTGCACTGTTCCTGGTTTGATCACTGGGATAAACTCAGGAACCTTTGGCAGCCTGGGAAGTTTGTACACTTCCTTCAGATCCTTCAGATGGCTTGTGAAAGTGCCTTTTTTAAGTTTTAAAGGACAAAATTTATGTTTGTTTTCCCCAATTAGGGATTCCCGAGGGGTAAATCTAAAGCTATAGCAATGATTGTGATAAACTTAGTGACCCTTTTCAGCCTCTGAAGCTTCATTTAGCTCATAAAAGTGCTTTTTAAGTTTTAAAGGACAGAATTTATGAGGGTTTTTTTTTTTTAATTTTTATTTCACCAATTAGAGATTATTAGGGCCTAATGGTACTCTGAAAATACAACTTCTGGTACAGCTCCATCTTTGCTTCTCTCAGAGATTTCCATCCTCTCCCTCTGTGTGGAATGTGCCTGTTGCTGCCATCTCCCTATAACAGAGGGCTATCTGTTTGGTATCCTCAGGATTTGCAGGTTTTAATTAGGATGGATTTATGTTGATTAGAGTTGATGGGATTGAAATGCCATGTAGTTATTAATTTCCTAGTTTTAATTTTGCTACTTAGTCACACGTTACCAAAAATATCTTAGAAATGTGGGGTTTTTTCCCTTGTAAAGTGGCAAACCAAAAAAAAAAACAAATGCACTGCAGCATTCTCTCATTTTGGGGATCAGCTCCTGGTAGATCCTGACTTATCATTCTGTGAGTGCCTGTGGATGGGTGAAAATGAAAAGAATTACTTGCAGCCAAGTTTTCTTAGCTTTTCTTTGAAAACAGAAGTAAAACTTGCAGGAATTTCCGTTACGATTTGATTTCTTTTTGCAGTTTGAATGGCACTGAACATAATTCCTCAAAATTCCATTGTAATTTTAATCTCTGGAGCATGTGTAGGACAGACCGAGATTCTGGGCAGGAATTTTGCTGCAACAATACATTTCCTACAGACTTGAGCCCTCTCCTTAATATTCTGTGTGTCTGGAGACACCTGTCTGGAGACAACAAGTTCAGCTTGATGATAAATTTGCTCCAGCATATTTAGAAGCGCCTGTAAATAAGGTCTAAATGAATATATCCTGTGCTTGTTTCAGAATGCCAAGCACAGGAACTCCTGTCTGCTTCCCTCCTCATCTTAACTCTGTTCCTGGTTTGCTACCACTTGCAATCCTGGGCAGCTTTCTCCAAGGGGGAATTTCCTGAGGGAAAGCAGCCTCTGGAAGGCTCTCCCAAGGGAGAACAGCCTCTCTGGGAAGGAGCAGAACTTGGGGAACCTCAGTTGATTGGGGAAGGCAGATGGAGTGAATCAACCTTCTTTTTTATTTTTTTTTGTCTCTGCTTGCTCTTGGCAGTTCCAGCCTTTTTGGGTTCAGGTGAAAGAGGAATTCAAAGAGGTACAAACTCAAGAGATTGGTAATAATCAAATAATGAACTCAAGCACAAACATAGCTGATAATGTTCAGCCTGTAAATGCTTGTGAGCTGGTAGGAAATTGGGAATTGGTCAAAATCCTCTCATAGCCTGGATTTTACCTCAGGCAGGAGGAATGTCCTGGGGACAAGCAGGGGCCTGGTGGGTAAATTATCCTTTACCTCTCACAACCAGAAGGTTTTGATTCAGTTGCAGTGGGGGCTTTCTTGACAGAAAAAAAAAAAATGGTGGTTTTGCAGCTTTCCATAAAAGAGTTTTCACAAGACAGCCAAGGCGCTGTTGACCTGTGTGACGCTGCTGTTAATTATGCATTGTAAATGCTGCTGTTCAGAGGGGTTTTCTGATGGTGAGGGGTCTCTTCGCTCCTCAGTTCAAATGGACAGCTCTCATTAACATTAATAAGAATTTCGGTGTTGTGGAGGTTGGTCAACAATTCTGACATGGAATAAAAAAATATTTTGAGGGATCAGGGATAGATCAGGGAGTTCAAACAAAACCTGTGCAGAACTGGCTCTAGTTCAGGCTGTATTTCCTACCCTGCCTCCAGCTAATATGTTTGTATTGGGTTTGGACACTTTGTCTGGGAGAAGGGAGTCGTGCATAAATGAGGCCAAGGCTATTATTCAGGGTTATTAATGTGGTTGTCTACTCTTAGTTTCTCAAAAACCAGAAAACTAATAAATTTTACATATTGGAGAAAAAAAAATCACAGATAAATCAAACAAACATATAAATTCTTTAAAGTATTTAATATGTGTTAAGAGGACAGAATGATGAATTCAATATTGAAAACCAATATCAAGTTTACAATTATGGCCCATTTATCATCACTGATTGCACAGACAGTGTATTATTGCAGGGAACAGAATGATGCATAAACTAAAACCCTGATTGGTTTTCTGAAAAAAAAACCCAAAACCCACGAGTTAAAATTCATGTTATGTCTGAAAAGCTTTGTTTTTCTTTTTCAAGCATTATTTTCAATAATAATTGCTCATTCAGACACAAATGATGCATATTTAATTTCTTGAGCTTTAGTATTAACAGAATAATAATTTCAGAGGGTTGATAACCGATGCTTTCACAAACAGTAACATGACTCAGTTTGCTGATGTTTTTGAGGCCCAATCACCCCTTGGTGCAAAAAGAACATGTGGAAAGCGAGAAAGTGGAGAGGAGTAGTTTGGAATTGGACATGGAGAAGGAAAGGGAAGCAGGAAAATGCTCTTGAAAGGTGAATGGACTTTGCAAACACGTGCAGGGGGCTGTTCTGCGCTCGGCAGTTCTGCCAGGGTAAAGCTGGGCCTCCCCAAAAGCCACAGCTCCCAGTGACTCCAGTGCTGCCCAGCTCGCTGGCTGCTCTGAAGGACATTCCTGCTCACCTTCCTGAAAGGCTGCACTTGCTTAAACTGCTGTCACCTCAGCTGAGCTCTGGGAGAGGGAAATGAATTCTTCTCTGGCTCACACTTTATCAGCAGAATTATTAAGCAGTTTTCTGTGCAGAGTCACTCTTGTAATACACTCTTGCTTGCCCTTTTTTTTTTTCCCCCTTTTTTTTTCTCCAATCCTTTTCTCATTTCCATGTTGGTGCTCAGGTTTCCTGGGGATAACCAGTTATCATTTCACCAAACTCAGGCTGTGCACTCATAACTGAGAGCTATTTTGCCCTTCAGAATTTCAACAACTCCTTCTGATTTATGAAAGAATCTGGCTAAAGCTTAAAGATTCAGCTGGAGTTTCCAGAGTTATAACTCTAGGCTACACTCATTGAGTCAACAGAAATAAGAGAGAAAGGGGAAAAAAAAAAAAAAAAAAGCCAAACTGTCTTTTATAGCTTTATTTGTAAACTGCCCATTTTAAAAACAGAAGCACTGGACTAGAACCAGTTTGCTGCAATCTAGTGCTGTTTGGACTGAATGTCTTCTTAGAAGGGGGTTGCATTTAAATTGAGGCAAATAATAAATGAATATTCCAGCAGTCACATCCACAGCCAGATTCATTGGCATTTACTACCCTCTGCTGCCCTGCAAGCAGACAACCATGTTGGAGAGAATTCCAGAACTTTCCAAGTGAAATAAATGCTCTGGATGGGATTTTAGAAGGGAAGGAAGAGCAGGGCTGAATGCTTTGTGTCCAACATCTGCAAATAAGCCACACAACCGTGTAATATCTTGGTATTTATTGATGCCCAGGGCACTCATAGTTTGCCAGGCCACTTCTTTGGAAAGTTTTAAACAGAACTCTGGAAGGGAAAGAAAAGAAAAAAATTGAAAAAAATTATAGCAGCAGGCTGGCCTGATTAATTTTAAGCATTTTGTTCGTTTCAGAGAGCATCTTTTGTGTTTAAAAACTAAAATCGGGGCTGCTAAGTAGTTCCTCAACTGGAAACTGGTGACAAAACTGAGTTATAAACAATGCCATCAGGACAGAGCAACTGGTGGGTTTAATATTCTTATACAAACAACCAAACCTAATTATCTTTATTTATTCAACAAATCGGGTTCAAATTTGATCTATTAAATTGTATTAAATATTGAAAATAATTTAATAAATAAACACGATTGCTAATTTATTATTGATACTCATCACTGGGATGTTTGTAAAAAATAATTAAAAGCAGGCTGGGAAAGAGGGGGATGAGCTCAGCTGAGGCGCCAGAACTGCTGCAGAACCTGCTCAGTTTGGGTAATGAAGAGAAATGGCTGGTGGAGCTGGGGAGGGAGCAGAGCTGGGCTTGGAGCAGGAGGTGGGAGTGTAGGATCCACTCCAGCACACGCTGATTGCCCACTGCCCCGTGGGGTAGCTGCAACCAGCCCGGCCAGGGCAGCTCGGGAACCCGCAGGCTTTTGGGAGGCTGGGATTGCAGGCAGTCCCCCATGGAAGCTTTGTACCAGCGCTGGCCCAAACTATCTCCATCCTGAAACGCTGCCACCACCTGCAGTCACGGCCTGGCAGGGCACCAAGAGACACACGGTGCAGGACAAGGGATTTTGGCAGCCTCCCACGGCCATAAAACATCGTACAATGTGGGGATTCATCGCGTGGCGACGGGGACAAAAAAAGTTCTGTGAGCCATTCTGGTGTATTATCAAAAAGGGGCTTGGTCTCGTGTTTCTTACAGATATTCTTGAGGGGATAAAAAAGCGGGAACCCAGCCAACGTTATTATTCTAATTAGAAAATAATCAGTAATAGTACATAGCACAAGTAGAGCATTTCATCTGGAACAGCCCGAGCAAGCTTGAGGTTCCTGGCTAAGAGCTAAGTGAGCGCAGCTGTTCAGATCACCTGTCATGAGCCTTTTGGTCTAATGATCTAAATCATTACACGTTTGTAACTTCTGGTACGTCTTTCAGGAAGAAAACGACACCCAGGGGGTGCGATTCCCTCCCTGGCTGATGCCGCTCTGAGCACCCAGAGCCCCCCGAAGGCAGCGGCGGTGCAGTCGCTGTGACAGCGCAAGGGCAGAAGCTCTGGACGGTAGAGGATGCTAGAGAAGAGGTAAATTCTCCACGGCGCCTTTCCCTGCCAGCATCCCCTCACACATCCATACCTCGCCTGGTATCAGCTCTGAGCAGCTTCTCCCCATCCCGGGGCTGGTTTAGGCACCGAGAGCTGCGTGTGCTCCCCTGGGTGTGCAAACCGAGGCACCCCGAAACGGCTCCAGAAGTTTGAGTGATCTCCCGCTGGAACCTGAGAGGTCTCCGCTCTGGAGATCCCGGTTTTCCAGCCGCAGGAGGCAGAGAGCCGTGCCTTCCCCCCCATCTCCTACCTCTGCTGAGCCGCCAAGTGTTCCTCCCTCAGCTATAGTTCGCTTCCTCATCCCCTCATGCGCTGCTCGGGATGCCGGGCTGAGTCTTTGTCCTTTTAGTCTATTTAAGGCATTGTAATGGAATCGGGCGGAGAAAAAAACCCAAACACATACCCAACGCCCGAGGCATCAGGACTAGACCCGACCCCCCCCTTCCCTTCCCTCAAACAACAAATGGTTAAATAAATAACGAGATGCCAAACCAACCATCACCAAACGAATAAGCCAAAAATCAGCGTCAGCGCCGCAGCAAACGGCAAAGTTTCTGCGCTCTGAAGCTGGAACCGCGCGGCAAAGCAGGAATCCAGGGGGAGGGAGCGGAGCCTGCGGGAGAAGGGATGCGCTGGTGTGTTCCCAGCCCCGCATCCCGGAGCGCCAGCCCGAGCCGCGCCGCTGAGAGACGAGAACAGCCCCGAGCCGCCACCCCCGTCTCCTCCCTCCCTCCCTCCTCCTCCTTCCCCCTCCCCCGGGTCCTGCGGGGAGGCGGGTTTAAGGTGGGTGCTGTGGCCGCGGTAACTTTCCTAACAGAGCCAAAGAGCCGCCCGGAGTCCCCCGCAGCAGCATCGCCCGCCCGTGCTGGGCAGCGGCCCCGGCTCGGCCGTGCCTGCCCGGGCCGCCTCCCGCCACCTCCTCCCGCGGCCCCGGCCCCGCATCCCCAGGTAGGTGCGAGCCGGGACAGCTCCTGGGCGCTGCCGGGGACGCGGCACCGGAGCCCCCCACCCCTGTTTGTTCCCGGGGTTGATGCTGCGGGGCGAGGAGCCCCCCCTGCACCCTCCGGCTGCCAGGAGAGAAACCCCCTTCCCTCCTCCTCCTCCTGGAACTGCCCGGGCATCCAGGACGAGCTGGCAGGAGGCAATCTCTTCCCCGCCGCCCGCTCCTGCCCCTTCCCTCGATTTTTGGGTGCTCGCCGGTGATTTTGGGAGTGCTGAGCTGGGAGATGTGTGCGTGGGTGAGATCGTACGCCTCGATTAGGACTCTCCCCTATCAGCCGCTTCCTCCCCCCCGCGCGTGGTTTATTGGGCTGTTGTATCGGCAAGAACTTTCTTGTGGTTGCAGCAGCCGGATTTGGTCCCCGCGTGTCCCTGCGTGTCCCCATCCTCGGGCTGCTGCGCTGCGCGGGCGAGCGGGCTCGGGCTGGCGCCTGCTGCTCGGATTGGAGCGACTTTCCTGGTCTGGGCTGAACTGGGCTCCTGCCGAGAGGGTGTTTGGGGTAGGGAGATGCGCAGGGAGAAGTTGTAGGATGCGGAGTGTAAGTGACACCTCCGTTTCTCGAGGCTGGGGAGTGGGTGGAATCTCACTCTGGCTGGTGCTACTCGCAGCTGCCAAACATTCCCTTCTTTTGCCTAGGCAGGACTCTGGCCACGCTGCCAGATGGCTCCTAACAAAGCGAAGTTAGGGAGCGTCGGGATATCGGCTCCCAAAATCAGTGCTCAGCTGAGATCCGCAGGTGACAGCACACGGTTTGATTCCTGTGCTCGCGTAATGCCTGTTCTTCAGCTGCGAGCACAGGGCACCTGCTTGGCCCGGGAGGTGGGCAGAGGATCAATAGTTTGAGAAACGAAGGCAGCCATCGCTCAGAGTTGTTTAAATCTGCAGCCCCTGTGGTCGCTAAACACCGGGGTTGGCCGCTGCCCTCCCCCAGGAGCTGGAAGAAAGTCCAGAGTTAACTAAAAGGAAGTCTACATGTCCGTGTCTTTATTACCTGCTGATTTAGAACATGACAAAAATTAATTCGAATGTAGCAGCCTGTGTGCCTTCCCTGACCTGTCAGATAGGGGAGATCCCACCCCCCAACATGCTCAGCCCTGTATTTTGGTAACAGAATTATTAAATTCACATTATGGGACTGAGGGAGTGAGTGCAGGTTTTTCTGGGATATCCGATCTCAGTCCGAATCCTTCCCATGCTGGGACTTCTCTTAGAGCTCAACCAGAGCTTTGCTGTCCCTCTCTGCTGGGACCTGCCTTCCATGTTCACTTTGTTAGTAAATCCCACAAGTTTTCCTTCTCAGAGTAGTGAATTGTTTTAGTAAAGGTGACTAAAGCACCAGCCTCATCCTAGCACTGGATTTTCTGTGCTCTTTACAGACCGGGGAGTTGATCTTCCAAAAGCTTGTGAAGTAATTGATGTTCAGGGGACCTGCTCTGGAGTCTGTTAAAGTTGGTGTGGGACACCGGAATGGGCTCTGCATTAGTTAATTAATGCTAATAAGCACCCGTGCTCAAGCATAATGATAATTTGCAAGATTAGTTTCAAGGCAAGTGGCCGAGTTCTGATTTGCCAGCAAAACCGCCGGGGGCTTCCTCGATGTTTAGACTGTTGAACTTAGTTTTATTTCTGCTCCTTGTTGATACCTGAGTAAATATGTTATGGAATTGTAACAGGCTTATGGTGAAAGGGTTTCAACACATTAAAATGGTCATGTGGTCACTGTCTTTTTCATAATAAGATTTCGGTGTTGTCTTTCCGGTCAGCTGCTTTATAAAATTTTGTCATTTTAGTTAAAAAAACCACAATGGGCCGAGGTTAAATATACAGTATTAGGCTGCATTATGTCGCTCCCACTTTTTACTTATGAGAAAGAACTCATTTGGTCTGTTGTTTTTTACAATTAACTCTAAATTAATACTCAGAAGTATCAAACAGAAGCCCGTGCTCTCTGGTAAGAAGTCCCATATTTCCTGTGAATGGGCCACTCAGCCATTTTCACTTTGAACAATCCATCCTGCTTTAAACACCAGGCAGCAGAATTAATATTTAAGCAAATGCATACAGCAAAACTATAAATCTCTGAAAACAGTTAATTATATTGGAACTGGGAATGTACCTTCGAGTACAGCCTTGTATAAACCATTTCCCTGTAGCGTGATCACAATTCCTGCAAACCTTTTATCCTCCTGTGTGAAATCATTTCTAATTCCATGTTCCTGCAAAGCATGTGCTTGCTTATTGTTTTCCAAACCATGTGGTTTGAGCTACTATTTAAATATAATATTTATGATATTACTTTGGCTGCTCAGCTCAAGAAGAGAAGTGCTGCACACCACTGCATATTAAAAAGCTTCTAGATAATTACCACTTTTTGCAGCACTGCTGTGCAAATCTCTGGGTCGGGAATTCAGATGGAGACTTTCCACACTTCACAGTTATTTTATATAAAAGCTGTAAGTCTTTCTTCTTGAAACGTGGGGGTTGCAGCCTTTGGGGAGTGTGAGTGCGGTGCCTGCACTGGTTTTCACATTTTTATTATTGCAACATGTGTGCTTGCCACTGGCCTCTGTGTGCTCCCAGGTGCACGGAGAGCCTGGTGGGTTCCCACAAACTGTCCATCTGCTGCACCACTTTGGGTTTCAATCACCTGTTTATACTTTTTTTGCCCTGTTGTTGTTTTATGTAAATATGTCCATTCTGGTTGTGTCACTGGGAGGCCCTTCCACTGCCCTTCTGTCCCTTGCCTGTCCATGCAAGGGAAACTCTGGCACTGCAAGAGCCAGAACTCAGTGCCAGTTCCAAGCCAAGGTCACTGGGAATTCCTTCAGGGATGGTGATGGACTTTGGACCCCACTAAGCAGTCTAAAGGTGATTTAGACCATGTAGAAAGATGGTTTGGACCATTTAGATGGTAGGGGTAGGATTCAGCTCTCCCATTCTCCTCGTGTTGTCCAGGGTGTCCTGCCTGCTCCCTGGTTGCTGCTCCAGCAGCTGTGACACATCCATAGGATCTGGTGCCCAGTGAGGTGTCCTGGTTTTCCTCATGTCCCTGTTCAGGCAACTGAGCCTGCCCTGCCTATGAAAAATGGCCAATACATAAAACCTGGGATCAAGGCAGTAGTTACAATTCCCGTTGTGAGCCCCAGAAAGGGTTGGTTCAGATGTTAATGGAAAAGCTGGATAAAATTCAGGCTCATTGTTGTGTTCTGCACAGACTGACCCATCTGCCCCAGTGACTGGTGCTTCCCTTTGCCCAAGCTGATTGAAACCTCAGTGGGGAACTGCTGTGTGTTAAGGGCAGGCAGATGAGAAAGCTTGTAGAAAATTAAGAACTGCTCTCAAAGGAAACAAATCCCAGTAGAATCAGCTTTAGATTGCCGGGTGGGTTCAGCCACATGACACTTGTGTGTGAGTGAGGTAAATCGGTGTGTTCGTGTGGAGAGGAGGAACTGTGGTGAAGAGTTTGCAGAGTGTGACTCTTACCTTGTAAATTAATATAGACCATGTACCAAATTTATGAAGAGGCAATATTGCACAGCCTTGTGAAGATCAGACTCAGCACTTGCAAGGGAGAATCTAAGTCAAGATGTCCAAAGACAAGTGCAGAATTCTCCAGGATAAGTGTGTTTACAAACACTTGGATGTGACCAGTGGTGCTCAGCCAGAGAAACAAGAGTTTCTCTTGTCTGGCTGCTGCTCTAAAGGGAAAGTACTGAAATCTGTAGGAAAAGTTTCTTCCTGAGAGAGGCAGGTGAAGGTCAGCACTTGGCCTGCCTGCAGACGTGAAGGAATGGAGAGCACACCCAGCTCTCAGCAGATTGTAAACAGGAGCACAACTGCAGGGCTCCCTTCTCCCTTTGCCAGGAGAACTGGGGGAATTTCCCCCGGTCCCAGCCTGAGTGCAGGGGCTGGAATCAGATTCACTAAACATGTGCTCTGCACAGAACAGGAGTAAGAGTAGCTGAGCAAAAATAGTTCT